GCTAGCTAGCTAGCTAGCTAGCTAGCTAGTTAGTTAGTTAGTTAGTTAGTTAGTTAGTTAGTTAGTTAGTTAGTTAGTTAGTTAGTTAGTTAGTTAGTTAGTTAGTTAGTTAGTTAGTTAGTTAGTTAGTTAGTTAGTTAGTTAGTTAGTTAGTTAGTTAGTTAGTTAGTTAGTTCGTTCGTTCGTTAGTTAGTTAGTTAGTTAGTTAGTTAGTTAGTTAGTTAGTTAGTTAGTTAGTTAGTTAGTTAGTTAGTTAGTTAGTTAGTTAGTTAGTTAGTTAGTTAGTTAGTTAGTTAGTTAGTTAGTTAGTTAGTTAGTTAGTTAGTTAGCTAGCTAGCTAGCTAGCTCGCTCGCTCGCTCGCTCGCTCGCTCGTTCGTTCGTTCGTTCGTTCGTTCGTTCGTTCGTTCGTTAGTTAGTTCGTTAGTTAGTTAGTTAGTTAGTTAGTTAGTTAGTTAGTTAGTTAGTTAGTTAGTTAGTTAGTTAGTTAGTTAGTTAGTTAGTTAGTTAGTTAGTTAGTTAGTTAGTTAGTTAGTTAGTTAGTTAGTTAGTTAGTTAGTTAGTTAGTTAGTTAGTTAGTTAGTTAGTTAGTTAGTTAGTTAGTTAGTTAGTTAGTTAGTTAGTTAGTTAGTTAGTGAGCTAGCTGACAGATTGTCCTCACTGCACACCTAACCTTTCAGTCCGTTAGTGCTTGGATCCGGTCATGATTAAATCCCGCTTCATGTAGTGGCTCGAGAAATCAGTTCTGTGTTGGGTTTTTTTTATTCTTCTTTGGTTTCCTGATTAGTCCTCTTGTCTGGCCATCCATCTTTTAATATGTTTTTTTTTTTTTTTCTTGAAGTCTGGTCATTGTTGGAGATTCACAATCATCGCTTGATTCTCGCAAACGTCTCGTAGAGTATTAAGAACATCAGCATGGTCGACTGCTCGTCTGGTCTCCACAGCAGCTTTACCTGCAAACCGCTCATTGTCTTACACACAACCGTGCCCTGGCACAAATATGAAAAGGATTATCCGACAGATTTTGTCAGAACCTGTCGGCCAGTCGAAGACCTTTTCACGGATGTTTTTCATGCAACATCTCTTGCAGTTGAAGACATTGTGGCTCGTGCAATAGAATGCTTCACCTATGTGGAAGGTAGCATTTAGGAATTCCAGACTTGTTCCCTGAACCACATATGGGAAAGTCATGCATACAGATCTGTGGCAAGAGACCATGCTGAAGTGGGACTCAGACGCAGGACGTAACCGACTCTTGACTAGAATGTACTTGAAGTTACGATCATGTCTGTTGGCCACTAGAGGGAGTTCAGAGAAAGTCGTGCTGGATGGAGAGATGCCTGAGGAGAATATTTTTGGCACGGAAGTTACGAGGGTGGTAGGTAAGTGAGGATAGAGAGTCTATAAAGATGGGTCCTCAGAAAGTGCAGTTAGAAATGGTGGTACTGGAGGGATGACCAGCGTACCAACCGGGAAGTACTGCCGTAACTATGAAGCAGAAACTCAAGCTATCAAGATAGCAACAGAGAAACTGCTAAATACCAATCTTGGCTCATAGTATGTGGTAATGCTGACAGATGCTAAATCAGTACTTGAAGCACTCCAGTCTAGGAAACTACCAGAATTTGCTCACACAACTCAGCCTTCAGCGAAGAGTCGTAATGCAATGGATACCGTCTCATTGTGGAAATGAGAAAGCTGATCAACTGGCAGGGGAAGGTGCGACAAAAGAGCAGCCGGATGTACCAGTCACATACCACCAAAAGAAAAAGAATCATTAAATCGATCAGGAAACCACCAGCCCCAGCACAAGACGACTATTTTATTATGGACAGACCATAATTAGTCATTATCCTCCGCCTCAGAACAGGGCACAACCGATTACGTAACCACGTGTACACAAAATTCAAAGATAGGTGTATCATCCATGTTCACCAGTGGAAGTGTGCCCCAGACAGCAAAGCATGTACTCCAGGACTGCACCGAATTAGACACATTAAGGCAAACTTTTTGGCCAGAAAGAACAACAGTGGAACGTAAACTCTATGGACCACTGAATGAACTAACAACGACCGTGAAATTTATACAAGAGACAAAACTGCTGATACAGACAACTTATTTCAGGCGAACTAAAGAAGAAGAAGAAGAAGTGAGGATAGGTCTGTTTTGATGATGTTTGGGCTTGGAAATGAGGGCCTCAGCACGACGAATAGACCGCTCTCGGTGAAATGCATCAGATATGACATGAAGGTACCCTCGAAGCCGCAAGAGGTCCAGCAAGTCCAGGACCTTGTGGTGAGAGACGTCGTTCTCCTGGCATAGTCTGCGGAGGCGTAGAAACTGGGAGAAAGGACTGGAGTCCTTGCAGGTAGAATGATGAGAGGACGTGTAAAGAAGAAAAGCATGGGAATCAGAAGGCTTATAGTATACCGAGGTGCTGAGGCCTTTAGAATAAACGGTGGCAGTGAGATTCAGAAAATGCGCCTACGATGATGAAATGATGCATGGGATGCTGAGATGGAAGTTAAAGAAAAAAAGGAGTGAAGTCCTGAAGTTCAGGTAGGGGCATCTCGGTGACTCAGATTCAATCATTGATTGAGAGCTCGGGAAGCCTACCGGTATATGCATGACGTTTCTGGAGCTCGAGGTAGCCCATGAAGATGCAGGCATAACTAGGACCCATTTTGGCGCCCATAGCGACTCCGCTGATCTGGTTGAAATAGTTGCCATAAAACTCAAAAGATTTTAGAGTGAGCACTGACTCGGTCAGTGGCTATAACAGGGCTGACTATGATCCAGGAAGAACCATAAAGCCTGGAGGTCATCCGAATGTGCAATAGAGGTGTAGAGAGAGCTAACATCTAAGCTGAAGATGTGGTACCTGGAAGAAGAGGTGAACCTGATTGACTGAAAGACAGAGATAACATGGTTGGAGTTAAGAAAGGTCTTCCAGCTGATTACAGGTCTAGTGTTGTCATGACATGTAATTAATGTGCTTATTACAGATGCCCAGCAATTTACCTATCTGCAATCATTTTTGTTCTTTATCTTTATTCTCTTTCACACACCCCCCCCCCCCCTTTTTTTCCGTCCTCTTTTTTCCACTCTTCATGCAACACAGTCCACGACACCATTTTTTCAAGAATCCAATCCACACAAAAAAAGTATGAGAAAAAAATAGATCAGTTGCAAAATGTATTTGTCACAGAAAAACAAGGAACGCCATGTTACGTAAAACAAAAATAAAAGTACATTTGCTTAAACGAAACAAACAAGTCTTGAATTATTCTTGTAACCCCGCCATCTGTTAAACAAAATGTAACAGTTCTTGAGAAAATTTACACCCAACAGAAATAATACATCAGAAAATGTGTAACATATTTACAAAGAGGCCAAAGACAGGCGTACATGCCGTTAGTCCTTCACCTCAGTATAAACCTGTTTATACAGAACATGTTAGAAATCGCGCGCTCCTGCATGCAGACTTGGGCCTCGTGACGTCAACAACGTTTGACATTTGACATGGGTTGGCGGGGCAGTACGAGACATGGGTATTTTCTCAACCACACCCAAGGGCCTAGACAGAACCGCTGAAATTATTCAAGCTGCATTTTCTTGGAGTAGGCTAAGGGCAGTGTCGTTGCATACGGTTAGGTGGTACCCAGTGTGGAAAATACCCCCCCCCCCCGGGGCCGCCCTCTTTTCCCCCAAATATCTTCTTTTTTACATTTTAACAATGCTTATTTCTGCTATTATTGTGTTGCCTAAAATACTCTTTCTTCAATAATTAACACCAATATAAATCAGCAGTTACTAAAATACCAGTGTTTAGCAGTGATATTCTAAACTAACAGTTACACGTCGCGTGAAATATGACGTGATCCACATTTTAATTTATGGTGCGCCAATAATTAATTTCAAAACGTCTACAGTCAGGGAACATACACCCTATACTATCTTCTTTTGTCAAAATCTGCTTGTGCCGCTAGGCGTCGCAGTCTATCAGATGATCGGCAACCGAGCCAGGGCGCGCTCAGTCGCTTCATATGCCGTGATGTTATGAAGTCTCAAGTTGTCCTTGACTCCTTCAATCCATCTTCCTATTCTATCACCACTAAAAAGACCCTTTTTCCACCTGTGGTATATCAGACATATGCTGTGCGATTCATATTTTATAGACGAATCGCTACTTGATGGCTGACGGTCAACATCACGCCGGCTGCCTTTACTTTACTGATGTTACCTGATTCTCATTTTACGCTGGGTCGAACTGAGAACCAAGATCGATTTTAAAAGAAAATTCGCCTCGATGTGCATCCTTCTTCTTCTCCTTCTTTTTCTTCTTCTTCTTCTTCTTCTTCTTCTTCTTCTTCTTCTTCTTCTTCTTCTTCTTCTTCTTCTTTTTCTTCTTCTTCTTCTTCTTCTTCTTCTTCTTCTTCTTCTTTATCTTCTTCTTCTTCTTCTTCTTCTTCTTCTTCTTCTTCTTCTTCTTCTTCTTCTTCTTCTTCTTCTTCTTCTTCTTCTTCTTCTTCTTCTTCTTCTTCTTCTTCTTCTTCTTCTTCTTCTTCTTCTTCTTCTTCTTCTTCTTCTTCTTCTTCTTCTTCTTCTTTATCTTCTTCTTCTTCTTCTTCTGGGTGTTCACATGTTGTAAAAGGCTGTTCGTCCACTTCTGAACTTTAGTCTTGTTCCAAAACCTGAGTCCTGCTTGCACATCTATTCTACAGATCTGTCTTTTATGTATGCAGATTGTTGGTTCCTTGCCTCTCAGGCAGATGTACTTCGAAGGAAGCACACAGTTAGTCGACTCTTACGACATGGTTAAAGAGGAGGCATTGGGTCTTTTTCTTGTTTTCCCCCACATTAGGGTCCTGGAATCCACATGAGAGAACCAGGGTACATCTCCGCAACAAATGAAACGCCAGCGAGCACTGTGGTTTAGGAGGAAAAAAACGAAAATGGTGCGTTTATGTTAGATATAAGGTGACTGATTCTTGTTAAACTATCAAGGAGCCGCCCTCAATGCCGGCTGAAATGCCTCTATCGGCAAGAAAACCCGATGAACTACCATAGACAAAGCTGAATTTGTTCCAGAATCGATTGGATTCGATTGGCTGTCCACAGTCAGCTTAAACAAAGTCGGGAAGTCTTCAGCTGTTGCTGTAGATTGTTCTGTACTACTGGCAGTTGTTGTAGTTGATGTCTGTTGGCTCCATGTTCCTGTGTCTTGGGTGCTAGAAAATCCTGAGTTCGTTGTCTGTGGTGTAGTGGTGGCGTGATGTTGCTGAGTGGTTTTTTGCTGAGGATTTTGTGTTGTAGTAGAAGCAGACTGTGTGGGTATACCGTGGGAAAGAATTAGGTTGGGTTTGAAGGATCTGCGGATGGTTAACGCTTCGTTGGGGTTAAACACGTCTGCTCTTAGAGATTCTGCTGCTTGGGGTGACCCTCCATTCGGCTCTGTTTTAGACGAGCTTCCTGACGCCCCGTAAGGAGGTCCAGTTGAAGCTTCTGTGTTCGTATTCACCCTTTGCGTGGAAAATGTTGTTACTGTTGACAGTTCAGTGCGTGATGAGGTGTCGGTTGGTTTTCCTGTAAAGTTACTTGAATTCCGATCTTGTTCTCTTGAATTGTTACCAGATGCAGGATACATGTTGTTTTTAGTCGTAGACTTACTAATTGACGATGTAGTAGTTGTTTCAGTGAGGCTAGGCACTGCTGTGGTAACACTGCTTTCGCCCAGTGGATTTGTGTTTAGAGTTTTTGATGTCGATGGAAAAGGTGGATTTGAAATGCTTGAAGAAGGGGGTGAGTTGTTCTTTGTGACTTCTGTTACTGCAGTCGTGGTAGATTCTTGAAATGAGGTGGTGATTCTTGTCAGTGTAATCGTTCCTGACATTGAAAAATCGGTGGTGTTTGATTCTACGGTGTTTGTCGCGTTATGTCTGTTTGATTTGGCAAAAACTTCTGACTTTGACACATGATTGGCGTCAGCGAATATGTCCTTGGGAAAGATGAGCAGAGTGTCTACCACGCTTCCTTGGTCGGGGCTGGAGCTTTTGGTGCAGTCCCGACCGAGTCTGCCGTCTGGACACAAGCACTGGTACTCGCATGGGTCCTGGAAAACAGAAGTCAATAATTTGTATGTTTTCAATGGGAGACCTTCACTTTATAAAAACGCTAAATCCTTGTTGCTTGTATTTTCTTCTTCTTCTTCTTCTTCTTTTTCTTCTTCTTCTTTTTCTTCTTCTTCTTCTTCTTCTTCTTCTTCTTCTTCTTCTTCTTCTTCTTCTTCTTCTTCTTCTTCTTCTTCTTCTTCTTCTTCTGCTTCTTCTTCTTCCTCTTCTTTTTTCTTTTTTTTTTCTTTTTCTTCTTCTTTTTCTTTTTCTTCTTCTTCTTCTTCTTCTTCTTCTTCTTCTTCTTCTTCTTCTTCTTCTTCTTCTTCTTCTTCTTCTTCTTCTTCTTCTTCTTCTTCTTCTTCTTCTTCTTCTTCTTCTTCTTCTTCTTCTTCTTCTTCTTCTTCTTCCTCTTCTTTTTTCTTTTTTTTTCTTTTTCTTCTTCTTTTTCTTTTTCTTCTTCTTCTTCTTCTTCTTCTTCTTCTTCTTCTTCTTCTTCTTCTTCTTCTTCTTCTTCTTCTTCTTCTTCTTCTTCTTCTTCTTCTTCTTCTTTTTCTTAGCATTCACCGGCTGTAAACTCCAGCGGAATGTTCCGGTTGTTCGTCCACTTCTGGACATTGTCTTGTTCCAGATCTTGAGGTTTACATACACATTTGTTTTACAGAACTGGCTTTTTTTTGTATGCAGTTTGTAGGTTCATCGTTTCCCTGGCAGATTTACTTTGACCTCAAAGGAAACGTCCCTAATTAATAGCCTCCTACGACATGATTGTTAATGGGTAGTAGGTCTATTTTTATTTCCCCTAGAATGGCAGCTCCGGAAATCTATACTGGGAATATGAGCTGGGTAAAGGCCGAGGTTTCCGATGCAAGATAAAAGGGAATAAAAGATTGTGGTGGTAGTAGTGGTGGTGGTGGCGTTAGTAATGGTGTGGTAGTGGTGCTAGCAGCAATGGTAGTAGTTATGGTAGCAGTATGGTAGTGGTGGTGGTGGCAGTGGTGGTTGTGGTAGGGTTGGTGGCAGCAGTGGTGGTGGCAGTAGTAGTGGTAGTGATGGTGGCAGTAGTAGTGGTAGTGGTGGTGGCAGTAGTTTTAGTGCTAGTGGTGGTGGTAGTAGTTTTAGTGCTAGTGGTGGTGGCAGTAGCAGTGGTGGTTTTATGTAGTCTTTGGCTTTCTGCCATGAAGTATTCTTGTAATTCTCTGTGTTATTTTATTAAGTTGACATAACAAATGCACATACGGCAGCCACGGCGGTGTAGTGGTTAGACGCTCGCCTGAAGGCTTAAAAGGTTTTACTTCAAATTTTCGTCGAGTCGGATTTTTTCATCTTTTAAAACTGAACTTGGCTCCGTGGGCAACGCAGCCTAAATGGCTACCAGGTAAAGTCCTGGGAAGTCAAGGCAGCCAGTCTGATGCTGACCACACCACCACCGAGGAGTGATTGCTCTATAAAGGTATGAGTCAAGCATCAGACGCGCCATGAGCCATTGGAATGAAAAAGGTTTTATTTTTTTTTTTTCAAACAGATGCAAGCAGGTTTAATATTCCATTGTTACCTCAAAAAGTCAATGTGTTAACCCTGGGTAATCTTCATCTTCTTCACGTTCACCAGCTGTAAACTCCGGCGGAAAGTTCTAGTTGTTCGTCCACTTCTGGATTGCAGCCCTGTTTCAGAACCTGAGTGTTGCGTGTGCATCCGTTTGACAGATCTCTCATTTGTGTGCAGACTGTTGGTTTTTTGCCTCTCTGGCAGATGCACTCCAACTTCGAACGACGCTCCCAATTAGTCGACTCTTACGACATGCTTTTGGGTAGGCAGTGGGTCTCTTCTTGTTTTCACTATTATAGGGCCCCTGGACCCACACGGGGACCGGGGTAATCAACTCCGGGGTTTTATTTTTCCTAAGGGGAATAAAAGGTGCCGTACTCGGCGCAAAATGTCCAGAAAGGTGCCGGTACTCACTTCTGTACTGTTCCAAAAAATAACAAATAAAACGCATGGTCATCCGATAGCGCGTTGTTTATTAGTTGACGGGAAAGCATGTACGCATACAAACCATTAACGAATCAAATGCAAAAGAACTGTCAATTAATTGGTTGAAACGTGCTGTATTCTTTTGTGCACTTTGAGCAGTTTCACTTACTGAATTACTAAGATTTTGGACGACAAAATTATTACACAATTAGATTCCTTTCAGTAGCTTTGCATTTGTTTATTATTGTTTTTTAAATAGTATAATTATCTGTTAACAGTAATGCTGAAGATAGGGATGTAGAGAAAAAAAGGTTCCGGTACCGTGAACCGTTGTGTACCGGTAGGAAAAAAAAGACCTTTACGTTTTTAACTTCCAGAAATAGTTACCTTGGAAACACAGCGACCGCCTCCAGCTGTGCACAAGGTGGGAAACGTCTCACATGGATGCTTGTTCTGGGGGCTGCACTGGGTGACGGCACCCTGCTGGACTACAGGGGGAACTGGGGCGCTTGTGCATCGATGGGTGCATGCAGTTAAGATAATCCATACTGCTAAAACGGTTCTGGGTGATGGCGTCATCGTGCGTGAACAACTGCGCAGAACTCTCAAACCTTTATCGTTGAGAATTGAGTTGGTGCTCAGGGAATGAGATATCACAGTTGTTGGCGATTCCTTATAAATTAAATTGACGATCTAACAACACAATCAGGTTGCTTATTAGTTCAGTGTGGGTGTCTAAGTCAGAGAATACGAATTCTACTCTTCACTAAAGCATAAGAGTTATGTCTTTCGAGACTAATATTTAAACAAATGTAGCTTGAGAAATCTTGTCGATGTCTCTCGGACAAAAGATACTTAAACTCCTGTCGTGCTAATAGCCGCGCGGTTTATTTCTGAAATTTAAACAGTGGCCGTAGCGATAGATTTCTTCAAATCACGGGATATTGACGAAGTGAATCAAAATGCCTGTTATGGTCAACTAAACACTAAACTTAAACAATGTAACTTCAAACAACACTTTGTCAAAGCCACCAGAATGTGTCCGTACAACGAAACGAGTAACAATGTTTGATTTGTAAGTAAAGAAATGAGTGTATGAAATAATTCACAGATGACAATATCAAGCCAAACGAATCGCAAAATAGAATACAATTTTATATATTCCCTTAAAATCCAGATGCGTTCAATCGTATATCGTTATTTAAAGTATTTCTGCTACAACATAATTGTTGTAAAATATAATCACTTGAACGAGAAAACTTAAATCCGCTCCACGATGTTCAGAAAATTAATTCCTTTGTCAAATATGATTTATTTGTAAATTATCGTAGTTGTACTTTAACCAGAACCAGGCGTTGAAATCCTCAACAGTGGATGGGGAAATTTAACAATTTAATACAAATACGAAAGCTGATTAACGTAAAGGAGAATTGAAACTGGCATAAACAAATGACCAAATAAATCTGTTGTCCTCGCCTGGGCGTTGTGTCTTCACTGCAAAAATAAATCTCTTGAAATTTCTAGACAGAACTATTGTTCCCTATCACCACTGGTCTAAAGCTACAGGGAGATAAATGTCCGGCTTCGTCGACAGTTTTCGGTTTTGTTTCAGATTTCTAACATTTGCTAACAATTTGCGCATGCCCAGGCCTGAGGTAACCTGATGTTTCTGCTGGTTTGACAAGAATATATTCTGGGACAATTTTAGAGGAGAGAAGAAAGCAAGGGACAGGTGGGCGCACGTACAAGCCAGTTAACATGAGACAAATGGGCCTACGGGTAGACAGGTGACAAATGGGCCTACGGGTAGAGAGGTTAACAAATGTCTACACTGCCTACACGTTGCTTCATTAACTCGGTGGATATATTGTTTGTTTAATCTAGTATAGCTTCGTTTGGGTAACTTCCATGTTTTTTCTTTCCTGTTGTTAAAATAAACGTAATTTAGTTTTCCACATGTTGGTGTATCTGGCTATCATCCTGGCTGTTACCCCGACTGTTACCTTGACTGTTACCTTGGCTGTTACCCTCGCTGTTACCCTGGCTGTTACCTTGGCTGTTACCTTGGCTGTTACCTTGGCTGTTACCTTGGCTGTTACCTTGGCTGTTACCTTGGTACCCTGGCTGTTACCTTGGCTGTTACCTTGGCTGTTACCTTGGCTGTTACCTTGGTACCCTCGCTGTTACCCTGGCTGTTACCTTGGCTGTTACCTTGGCTGTTACCTTGGCTGTTACCTTGGCTGTTACCTTGGCTGTTACCCTGGCTGTTACCCTGGCTGTTACCCTGGCTGTTACCCTGGCTGTTACCTTGGCTGTTACCTTGGCTGTTACCTTGGCTGTTACCTTGGCTGTTACCCTGGCTGTTACCCTGGCTGTTACCTTGGCTGTTACCTTGGCTGTTACCTTGGCTGTTACCTTGGCTGTTACCTTGGCTGTTACCTTGGCTGTTACCTTGGCTGTTACCTTGGCTGTTACCTTGGTACCCTGGCTGTTACCTTGGCTGTTACCTTGGCTGTTACCTTGGTACCCTGGCTGTTACCTTGGCTGTTACCTTGGCTGTTACCTTGGCTGTTACCCTGGCTGTTACCTTGGCTGTTACCTTGGCTGTTACCTTGGCTGTTACCCTGGCTGTTACCTTGGCTGTTACCTTGGCTGTTACCCTCGCTGTTACCTTGGCTGTTACCTTGGCTGTTACCTTGGCTGTTACCTTGGCTGTTACCTTGGCTGTTACCCTGGCTGTTACCTTGGCTGTTACCTTGGCTGTTACCTTGGCTATTACCTTGGCTGTTACCTTGGTACCCTGGCTGTTACCTTGGCTGTTACCTTGGCTGTTACCTTGGCTGTTACCCTGGCTGTTACCCTGGCTGTTACCTTGGCTGTTACCTTGGCTGTTACCTTGGCTGTTACCCTGGCTGTTACCTTGGCTGTCACCTTGGCTGTTACCCTGGCTGTTACCTTGGCTGTTACCTTGGCTGTTACCCTGGCTGTTACCTTGGCTGTTACCTTGGCTGTTACCCTGGCTGTTACCTTGGCTGTTACCTTGGCTGTTACCTTGGCTGTTACCTTGGCTGTTACCTTGGCTGTTACCTTGGCTGTTACCCTGTCTGTTACCCTGGCTGTTACCCTGGCTATTCTCGATGGAAGCGACATAAATTGGAAGTCTTTGTGGCGAAGGTGTCAAAAAAATTTGAAAATTGAAAAGTGACTGAGGACACATAGAACCCCTTGCCCATCCGCCATATGTTCTTTGTACTGCCGTCTCTGGCTGGTTGTCATGAAACCCTGATATCCTCGTCGTCATGTTTTGTTATTTATGTTTTGTTGTTTATTTATTTGTTTTATTATTTATGATTTATGCTTTGTCTGTTCGGTTTGTGTGGCTTGTGAATTATAAACACAGTTTCATTTTTCCAAATATTCGAATTGGAGGCTAATGCGGGTTATTCGCAGCAGCTTGTTTTGCGTTGATGTCGACAACACAATAAGCATAAACGAAAGCGGGGGCAAACTACTTAATGTCAAACTGACTAATAGTAGTATAAAAAGCCAATTAATCTTGGGTTCGAGTTGTGGCGCTCTGTTAAAGATATGCAGCTATTCGATTTCGTTTCTGCCCTCATTGGAACAACGTCCTGCATTCATTTGGCAGTTTAAAAAACAAAACAGTACCATAGATTGGCAGTTGACGTTTTCATTAAAGGTTCAAATTTAGTCAACTTTCAGCCCTGGGTTGCTCTGTTTCCTCGTCTTCTTCTTTCTTCTTTGTTCAGCGACAGTAAGCTCCGGCAGTAAACCCTGGTTGTTTGTCCATTTGGCTTTGGCCTAGTGTCTGAGTTTTGCATGTACATCCGTTTACTGACTTGTTTCTGTGCACTTAATTGCTCCTTGCCGCACGGGCAGATGCACTCCGACTTCGAAGGATGCTTACAATTAATTGACTCCTATGACATGCTTGCTGGGGAAGGCAGTGGGTCTATTTCTGTTTTCCCCCACACCGCGAACCCAGAAAAATAAATGGGGGGGGGGGGGGGGGGGGGGGTTGTCTAACCTGAATAGAATTCGCCGATCCAAAGCGCCATGTTTCAGCTCTGCATTTAAGGAATCCTTCTTGGATAGCGGGAAATGCCCATGCTGTCTGCCTCTGCAGTCCCTTGAGGGTCGACCATTCTCCACGCGGCTACCCCAGGGTCCTCTAGCGAAAACATCTGTGGGCCAGGAGACAGCGAAGTCACTACTCGTATGAGGCTACAAATTTCCCTTGAACCTAAATGAGAAGGATAACTGCATAATAAAAGCCCGATATAGTCGGATCGGTTGGCTGAAAGTCGCAAATATCGCAGCTATGCTGTGAACAAGCACAACGTCATTCGGACGAGCCGTGAAGAAGCATCTGCCTGAGAGGTAAGGAACCAACAGTCTGCAAACAAATAAGTCAGATCTGTCAAACGGAGGCACACGCAACACTCAAGTTCTGGAACAGGAATTCAGTCCAGAACTTTCCGCCAGTTTACAGCTGGTAAACGCGAAGAAGGAGAAGGAGAAGAATTGACACTTCTGGGACTTCTGATGCTGCCCTAATTCGAGAGTATGCTCTTGGCTTTGCTAGGTATGACATCTTTTCAGTTTCGTATCCCAGTGGACGTTGGCTTCTAGGGCTTAGGCACTGCACACGCTTCGTAATGCCGGGGTGCTGGGTTCGATCCCAGCTGCGGGCGATTGGGCAGCACAATGTCTCTCGTTGGTTTCGACAGTGGTACCTAGAGTTGACCATTGAGAAGCAATGACAAAACTACTGAACGTAAAATTTGCCTGGAAAACCCTCAAGAAACAATAAAATGCAGGTGTTGGTTTTGTAACGTCCTGTAGTTATGCAACTAACAGCGGATGGTATTCAATTCGGTTGTCACTGGCAGATGATAAGTACGGGTTCATTTGCTGTCACATTATACTGCGACTAACTAACTTCCAACTCTGCTCCTCCCAGTTTATTTTTACTATTATTATTGACAGCTGCTGGATGCTGATTTGCGTATCTGTTGGTCGTGGGTATAGCGGACGGTGCTGGACTTTTTTTTTTATGACCTTGGCTCCCAGGTCGACGCAGCCTTAAATGGGTATCAGGCACGTGTACTGTGAAGTACAGGTCCGCCAAGTGTCGATTAGTCTATTCTTCTTTTGCGTTCGACACCAGTCATGCTAAACATTGAGTCCCGTCTGGGTCACAAATAGGATTGTGCGTTTAAGGTTGCCACCGGTCACCCATAGCTTCTCTTGCAATGTGGCTTGGGCCAGATCCAGTCTTTGCTGAGAGAAGTTAGGGCAGTCCTGCAGTATGTGCTCAGGGGTCTGCCTATCCTCTGCAGGTGTGCTCGAAGACCACAGTGTCCTGTCCGAAGTCTAAAAATGGATGTTTGTTTTTTTCGTGTTAAGTTTGTTTATGCTGTCACTCTCTTGTCTGTAATCTCAATTCTGCCTTCTCCACTCCCGTTTGAAAGACTGCTTAAGCACTGTTTTGGTTTCCTTGTAGCTGTGTGGTGGATGAGGTTGTGGAAAAATACTCTCAGCTTTTGCCAACTGAT